GCGACAGACGTGACTAAGAGACAGGCCCGCTCGTACAACCCCCGCATTTCCCCCTCCGCATACCCATGCTTCCCGACCGTCTCCAGCACCCCCAGCTGCTCACCCGTCAAGACAGCCCGCAGGTCAGCCGTATCCGCGTCAGCCGTATCCCCATCAGCTGATGTGGACGCCGACGGCACCCCATCGACAACCACACACACGCCCCCCGGCCTCAAACACCCCGCCAACCGACCCAGCAGCAGCCCCACATCCGCAACATGGTGCAGCGCCATGCAAACAACCACCACATCGAACCCGGACAGCTCGATCCCCGCCGCGGGGCGATCGGCCAGTAGATCGAGATGGTACGCCTGCATCGTCTCGGGCGGGTGGCCCTGCCCGCGCGCCCAGGCGTTGTACTCCGCGACCATATTCTCCGACAGGTCGAGGCCGACGGCCTGCGTGATGAATGGGAGGAGGGCCTGGGTCATGAGTATGCATGTCGATCTTGTGGGGGGGCGATAGCGTACCTTGGAGGCTGTCCCCGCGCCGCAGGCGTAGTCGAGGAGTCGGACGGGATGATCATGCTTGTCGGTTAGGCTGGCGCTGATCCAGAGCCGGCGGGTCTTGATCTCGTCGATGAGTGTCTCGATGAGGGGGCCGAAGTCGGTGTGGTGGGTTGAGGCAACCTTGCTAGAGTGGATGAGTTAGTGGGTGGTGTATTGCCGGAGATATTTCTTACTTGAAGTGGGTGCGGTTTGTGGTTGTTAGGTCGCTCATGCTGGCGGTAGGGGTTGGACTGGCTTTCTGGTCTGTAAGGGATGGAAGTGCAGGTTGTCCTCTTCTTATGAGGATGAGGGAGTGGGTACCCTGGGAGTATGCATAATACAGCCCATTATTAGTCTAGACATGGATGAGCAATCAGACAGACGCTACCTATTGACATATTATCAGTGATCATTCTTATGCATTGAGACAACTCACTCAGTCATATGGATTGACTAGATGGTCTAGACAGACGATAACTAATAGACTACAGAGACTGCGGCGAGGATGCCTTGAAGTAGTGATTAAATGCATACTGTATATCTATCCATAACGTTACTCATTATACTATACAGAACCCAACACCATATATAACTCATGACTCATGACTAATTCTGGGATACATCCTTCCCATCCGACAGATTCCGCAGAATCTCCTTGAGCTGCTTCAGCGGCGTAGGTTTCGTCAGGAACAGATTCACCCCGCTCATCATGGCCTCGTGCTGCATCGACGATGAGAGGACGGCAGTCAGGATGATGATGGTGGCCGGGGGACGCTTGGTCTTTCGTTCGAACGAGCGCATCTCGCGCGTGGCCGTAAGGCCGTCCATGACTGGCATGGAAATGTCTGCAGGGGTTAGAAAGAGGAAAGATTGAGGACGGGGTGACTGACCCATAACGACTGCGTCGTATGTGTTCGCCTTGAACTTTTCTAGCGCTTCCAGCCCGTTCTTTGCGGTGCTGTAGGCGAAGCCGGCGGTTTTGACGCACATTTCGATGATCTGGACATGTTAGAGAGATCGGTCAGGCTGAAGCAGTACTCACCTTGAGATTGACTTGGTTATCCTCCACCAGAAGGATATTTTTTGCTCCTTTGCCGTCAGTCTGTCCATCGCCATTTTGTTGCTGCCTGTCTTCCCCGTTGACCGCCCGTCCAAGGACAGGCTCTAGGGCCCGGTCTTTCTCGCTATTTCTCTTGCCCCCGAACATTTTCTCCGCGTCTGGGATCCCGTCCTCCACAGGCTGCACGGGCGAGGGCAGTTTCCGGGGCGTTGAACTGCTTGATCGCTCCGGTTGGCCCAGACAATGCTCAAAGGCCGTGGCCAGCGTTTTCGGGCTCACCCTACGATTGTCAACCATTTGCACATGAGTTCCACCGGAAGAACTTACGGTTGGGTGAGGAAAATAACCGCATCCTCGACGGTCTCTCCCAAGGTCTTCCAGCTACTCGTTCTTGCGGAGAGAACAATCAACGGGAGAGCAGGCTGGATCTCCCCACTGTCTGGCTTGGGCTCGTTCGTGCCCTCAATATAGTAGTTCCGGTACTCGTGTTCCGTCACGATGGCGAAATCCGGCTTGATGGAATCGACCTCGTCCGGCGTCAGGACGCGGAGTCCGAACCAGCCGGAGATCATCTGTCCGAGGCTGGTTAGGATGTGGTCGAAGACCTCAGGGTCGAATCCTAGGTCGCCCAGCTTCGAGCTGCGCGTGAACAGTGAGACCGTCATGCCGCTCAGTTTCTCCTTCAAGGGGGCAAATGAGCGAGGGGAGGAAGGGCTGGACAGCTCGGGCTGTTCGACAGGCAGCACGACATCCACGTCCGTTCCTCGGCCGACTTCACTGCTGAACTTGATCTGTCCTTTGAGTGACTTGACAATCTGATGGACCAGATGCAGACCGACTCCTAGGCCCGGAGACGTCGTGTCCTCCTGCAGAAAGGCGCTGTAGAGATGATTGGTTAGGAAGTCCTTGGACATGCCGCGACCCGAATCACTGAACGTCATACGGATGGCGGGGGTTTTCTTGCCATCCACCAGCAAAGTATCCCGTCTCATCAGCAGCCGGATGTAGCCCGCCTGGGTGTATTTCAGAGCATTCCCAAATAGATTCATGACCACTCGACGCCAGGCCCCGGAATAGACACTAAAGTGCCAGCTGTCCTGCCATTCGATGTCGACGATCGTGATGAGACGGTTCTTCGGGCCTGCATCCTCCTTCTTGGCCAGCGCGTCACTATCCCCATTTGCCCCGCGACGCTGGTACTCTGCGCCGGCGAGGAGACCCTCTACGACCTCCTGCACCAACACGCCGAGATTCTCGTCTTGAAGAGACCCAGGCACGGCCGCTTGGGGCTTGGACACGTCGGTTGACCCATGTACGCCCGCCTTGTCGGACGGACGGGGCCGAGTGAGCGTGTTGATCTTGGCGTAGTCCAGGAGGTGGTTCAAGGTGTCCAGTAATGTACGGCCGCAGCTGTAGACTGTTTCGATCAGGGACTTCTGGGCGTAGCTATTCACCATCTCCTGGAGCAACTCTACCGTGCCGAGAAGCCCATGCAAGGGCGACCGCAGCTCGTGCGAGATGGACGAGATAAAGTCGCTCTTGGCTCGGTCGGCTGCCTCCAAGTCCAAACGGGACACCTCGGCCATGACGGTGTTGCTAAAGGCCGCCAGGTACGTCAGGTCCTTTGGCTCCGACAACACTCTGCCGGGGTCATTGGTCCATACGACGCAGACGGTGAACCACCGGCCCCGCTGGAAGTCCCAGACGGGGTACACGGCGATACATCGCGCGTCGGGAAGTACCTTCATCATTTGCTTGATGTCCATGGTCTCCTGCTGGATATCCTTCTTTTCCGGCTCCACCGACATTGCTCCGCGGCTGCCTGTCCGAGAGTAGTTGATTTCATCGGCGACTCCCTCGTAGCTTAGAGAAATGGACCCGTCTTCTTCGATATGGAAGATCTTACCGCGGGGATACTGATCGATGAGATGGTTGATGAAACCACCCGACAGCGAGACGTAATGGCTGTCGTTCAGGTTGACTCCTCCCTCCGAGGTAGACGAGGTGTAATGGCCGAGCACGAGGCTGCGGGCGTGCGAGTCGTCCTCCGCAGCATTGGAATCGGAACGGGACTCGGGGCTGGAAGCGGATGGCATCTGCTCCTCTCCGCCGTTGTTGTCCACGTGGTGCTGGACATTGTAAGCTTCAGGGTTATCATATTTGGACTCGGTGAATCCCACTGTCTGCCGCCGAGCGTGCACGCTGGCATCGATGAACATCGCCCCTTCGACGTCGAGGGCCTGATAGATCATCGAAGCGGCGCGGTTGACTACAGACCGGACGTTGCTGGGAGCAAGGGACTCCTGCAGCTGGCTGGTGGTCGGGGAGAGCTTTGGTCGCTGTGGCTTCGAATTCTTTTCATCGGTCTCGCCGTCTGCCTCCTCTTCTTCACTTGCCCCATCTCCGTCTTGTTTAAATCTATGGATGGGGGATACGTGCTTGCCAGGATCGCCGTCCGCGCCAGCAGCTGCCGTATCTTTGTCCCCCTGGTCACTTCCAGCATCGTCCCCCTCGCCACTCGACTTGGATACCTGCAGTTGCTCCAGCCTCTTGTTGACAAGAGCAATCTGCCCACCGTATTTCTTGTCCAGTGCCTCTTGACTGTAGAACCATTGGTTGAGAACGACTTGCCTTTGACGAACAATCCCAGCGCACGCACCATCTTCTCCTCACGGTACTCCTCCCTCATCGCTCTCAGACAGAGCAGATGATCCATGACCGTAGCCGACAGCTCCTTGAGAAATTGTTCCTGCTCGGCAGTAACCCCATCCCTCGGCCGATCATCAAGCACCGCCACGCTCCCAATGACATAGTCATCCGGCGACGTGATGGGCACCGAGACGTAAAACCGGTTGTGGGGATGGCCCGTGACCGAGGGATGATTCTTGAACCGGTCGTCGCGCGTCAGATCGTCAGCGACAAATATGTCCCGGCCCTCTTCGGTAAACGACCTGACCGCATGATAGCACATGGGCACCTTCTGACGCGGCAGCCGGCGCACCCCCAGCCACAGCGCATCCGCCCTGTCACGGCCGTCCGCAGCTCGCAGACTGAGATCCGGGGTCGCCTCCGCAACAACATGCTGCATCGTCTTATCGAAAAGCGAGATGAGAGCGCGCTGCGCGTGCATGCGGAGGGCCGCGAGCTGCGCGAACACGGTGAGGACATTGTCGCGCGACACGTTCGGGTATTTTCCGATCGACTGCTGGGCGAACTTTTCGGAGTCGGAGAAGCCCCAGTACGGGAGGTAGCTGCCATTGCATTAGTTTTGGTTAATGTGAGGATTGGATTGTAGCCGATTTACAGGTGCATTTCTCGCTCACGGGCGCCCTCGCGGTTGAAGGCATACTTGCGCGGACCGCCGTCGCGGCCTTGGTTTGAACTGGCTGGCGAGTCCATCTGAGAGTGTCAGATCAGAATCTAGTTGTAGCGGAGTTATATCACAGCAAACCCACTCTGAAGCCTGTATGATCATTTATACTCGCGCAATGGTGGTGCAATGGATGGTCGTACGGAGGAGAAATATATGGGCAGCAGCCACTAGCGTCATAGGTCTCGCGATCGAACACAGACCGCGGCAGAACCGAGAAGAATGAATAGTACAACCTCGACTGATGAACATCCCATGGAGGACTCATATACTCTGTACCAGGTACGATCAGCATAGACCTTAATAGATGATGTTATTCCGAAAACCGGGAATTCCGCATACCCAGCCTGGGTTGACATGTCGTATGTCGTATGTACCTTATACGGACACCTTTTCTCGATGAATTGATCAATCACGATGGATCTGCCAGGATCTGGTGCTGACGTCATATCCCTATGACTGTAAGACTAATGACGGCTTATCCGCCTTCCCCTGGAATGAGAGGACAGATAGAGGCAGATCTGCAATGCTGGTACTACTGATCTAAAGATGTCATTTGAGACATATTTCCAGCACAGTGATTGGATGAGAGCCAGCTGATGCCATCATGGGGCCTAGTTGATACCTGAGGCAGTATCACTGTCATATGTTTTCATTTAATGCTGTCTGCCCTGTCACGTGGTATCGCATCATCGACTTCTTCTCCCTGGATGTTGCTTAATAATCCTAGTAACTGCTGAATAATCATTCAAAATCTGTGTAACTTATTCCCTTTCAAGTTTAGCTCTATGCCTCTTCCTTCAGGCATTAATCTCTATTCTCTGCCACTTTTCTAAGGCCTAAAGCTACCTCCTATAATATGCTGTAGTGCCCTTGCCTCTAAGCCACTGCCTGTTTCTGCGTCCAATTATCACTACCTTGAACAGAAGATCGTAAATAAAATAAGGCTATAGTATTAGGGTAAGAGATTATCATAGACTATAGTATTAAATGTAAATATTACACTTTGATGAATTATTATATCTTAAGAAGCTTATATATCTAGACACTAAGACAAGTGTAAGCAATACATTGACAGCTTAAAACCAAGTAGAAATATATTCTAAATCTAAGATCCCAACACATAGAAGACAAAGTAACTTATATTCAAGTATAACAGCCAAATGTACTCTTATAAGTAAAGCAGCTTTATCCTCCCAGCTAGATAGACAGTATTATATTAACTATCTCTGCTATAACCCTGCTGTCTCTGCAGTTAGCTTACCCTCTTTAGCTGGATATATTAATACATAAGCACCCAGATATCCTTACTTGATCCTCAATCACATGGTATAAAAATGATTTTCAACCACCACCATTTCAACCCTATATATATCAAATTGATATTTTAGATATAGATTAGTATGATGATAATTACCATATATTTCATATAAAAATAAGAATATTCTATATGGATATTAGATAGGCATGAGGCATATGCCTAAGGTAAGAGAAATTAAATTCTAAAAACCATTAAAATTTAACTATTTATCCAACCTAAATTAAAACTAACTTAAACTAAATCTAACTATAGTTAGTTAATAGGGGCCTAGCTAGGCCTATCTAGACCTAGTAGTAGTTTTTTACAGTGAAACTCACACTAAATCACACTAGGTTAGGGTGGGTTCTAAGTTCTAATTTTTTAACTTGAAATTACTGAGGTTTAGTGCTGGTTATGGCAGGCTATACCTGAACTCAGACCAAATGCAACTCTAATCTAACCTATAACTAAACTAAATCTAACTATAGTAAGTTAGCTAATAGTATAACTTAGCTAGAAATAGTTTAGCTATACTAAGCTTTAAGTTTTATAGTGAAACTTATACTAAATTATACATCCTCTGATGCAGGACGTTTCGGCCGTCCGCGGAGAGGGCCCCCTCAGGGAAACCACAATACTGTACACCCGCCGTCACGGCTTTATTGCGCCTCATCCACTCGTCTTCCAACGAGTCTGAAGTGGGCCATGTAAAAAATGACTCCACAAGGAGGATCTGCTCCGGTGGCATGGCAAACTCTTTCCGTAACACCTCCCGGGCAGGCTCGTCATTAACGGCACCGCCTGTCAATTGCCTCTCAATATCAATGACCGCTTGTTTCCGGCTAAATTCCTGGCGGATCTCTTTCCGCCGTCTCTCCTGGAGACGGCGACGCGTGTTGTGGACAATGCGTTCCTGTTGTTCCAACAAGGCCCGCAATGTTGGATCGTCGGATTGAGCGCAACGGTCCTCCAGTTCAACTTGCCATCGTATTGCGGATTGCAACTCGGGATCCATCTCCACTGACGCTTTTTCAGCGTCGGTTAGGTACCGAGGCCGCCTCGTGTCAATCCAACGGCTCATCCGTTTTACAGCTCTCGAAAATTCCTCAACTGGATTGAGTCCGCATACAATCTCCTGCATTTCAGCATGCCGTCGCGGTCGGTAGTGCTTGATGAAGGTTCTGCTGCTTGCGTGCGCCATGATCACGTTGCGCTGCGCGTCGCTCACAAATCCTAGATTCGATAGTCAGTGATCTTTAGGGCCACACGCAATTGGATCGGAGAGACCACAGTCCTTACCACTTTGATCAAGCAATTCTCCGGTCCCGCAACGAAACTGGTGGGAGAACAGAGGATTCAGAAAACCATGTATTTCACTGAGTGACCGAAGCTGCGCATCGAGTGTGGAGCCGTTCATGGGTATCTCCCACAAGATACAGGGCTTGCCGTCAATCACGTCAACCTTCGGAAAAACATAGTAGTTGTCCATCTCCCTTTTCAGGGGGAGTGGCATCTCCTGTCGGCCATCCTCAATGAGCAGCCTCCGAAGGTCCTCCATCGAAGTCAAGTGGGGCGCCTCAAATGCATTTGCATAGAATAGTACGATGAAGAGCAATACGTGTGGGCTGAAAACAAGCGATATACCATAGATAATCTCTGGTAATGCGAAGGTATTGCTGTCTCATTTATCAGGTTAATAAGCCAACCAGGCACCAGGCATGACGCTGAGGCGCACGTCCACCTTGGACATTCCGAGGACACTTTTCACAAACTGGGGTTGGATTTCGATCATCGGCACCGGAGGTCCTCCATGCGGATCCCGCTGGAGACTTATCTGTAAATGCTTGAACTGGAGGTGTAGGATTGCCTGTTTCCGGTTGACAGTGAAAAGCCCGATGGTGTTGTACAGACATAGAATAATCCGCTGAAACCCCAGATGGAATCGCTTTTCCCGGGTTTGGAGAATCGTCTCGTTGAATGGTACCATGTCTTCGATATAGACAGGAGTGTTCGCCCGCGGCTGTTTGTCCAACCCGCGTTTATCGATCAAGTGTCTCATTCCCTGCCCGCACGGTCAGATGACATGCTAATAGAGACAGGATCCAGGACGGAGGGAACATACAGTGCGGACCGCCCCACCCATTTCGTTGCTCATCTCCTGCTTGGTAACTTTGGTGTAGTAGACTCGGAAGTACTTCCAATCCGCTTCGAGGGCACTAGCTTTCCTGTAGCCCTTCAGACGGCGACCATCCGAGTTGTATTCCAGCTTGAGACACCAATTCAGGAACCGGTGCATGTCGTTTGGGGAGGCTTGACGTAAGGCGTCCTCTGCATCTTCCCACTTCGGATCGGCTGACGGCTCGATTGCTTTGGTCCGACAATACCTGAAAGCAGATGAGTCAGAGGTCGGTCCATCAAAGACAACAGTTCAAAAAACTGGTTAACATGGATACTGACCGAGCCCAGCGGTCCTTCAGTCGAAGGTTCAGTTTCCGGGTATTATTCGACCTGCCATAATCTTCCGGCACCTTAGAGAGATCCTCATCTGTATCATCGGCTGGATCTTCGTAACGGCCCCGGTGAACAAGCTCCACGGCCGAGGCATCTGTGACATTCTCAGTTTCCGAAGCCCTGAACTCCCCCAAGTCCGCCCGGAGGTGTCTTGAAGCAGGGCCCCGCCGTATTTTCCTTCGTTTGGCCATCTGAGACGAGGAAGGCAGGTATTCCGGTTCCGTCAGGTCCGTCTCTGAGTTGGGTTCGAAGGATCTATCGTCGTCGGTAATTCCAGGAGACGTAGTGGACGATTCAGTAGTGGCAATGCGGGAGCTGGCACTGGTTTCTCTCCGACGACGCATGATCAAACGCGTAAGCCGACCGTAGGGAGCAAAAGCAACAGGGAGAGCAAAAGGGATCCCAGGATGTGACGACTGGATACTCGGTTGAAACGATGGACAACGACAAAGTCGAGCTTTCGGAGATGCGATGTGAGCAAAGGGTGAAGAAAAGCGGAGGGGCGAGAGGCAGGAACGGGGGGCTTATTGTAGTCATATTGTTGAGGTACTGGCCAGAGACTAACTGGTGCGACATTGAGGGCGCCATTCTCCGCGCCCTCGTGAAATTGTAGGGACCTGTGATGGTGAAGCGGAGGATGAGCCTTCCAGGACAATTCCTGATGGAAGCGCCCACGACGTTGACAGCCTCAGGCAGGAAGTATTACGCTAAATGGTGCGTCGGCAGAAAGTGCGGGAGCGTGGCAGAAGGAAGTTGCTGAAAGACGGCCATTTTCGGCGTCACCTGCTGCCGAAAAAGGCAGCGAAATAGCAAATCGCAGTTCTTTAAGAGGAGAATTGATTGCGGATCCACCAACTAAGAAGCAAAAGAGACCTGAGCGGCCAACTGTATCGGCATGGGAGAAGAAACTTGGTGCCATCAAGGAAAAAGTGGCAGCGGACAAGCCATCTGCGTGTTTTCAATGCTTAAAAGAATACTCTGATGTTTATGGTGTGAAGAGACACTTCAAGGCATCCCATCTGCAGGATCGCAAGTGCAATTTCTGTGATCTATCGCTACGGCATGAAATGCACCTACGCTTGCATGCGGAGGAGGTACATCGACTTCGTACCTGAGCTTCTTGCTTCGCGGCGCTTGTAAAATTGGAGTGTGCTTGTCAATTTGATGGCTTTGGTTAAGGCACGGCATTGCATCGCACGCCACATCTTAACTGGCGCCATCATAAGCACTGCAATGGACTACTGCGTGAGCACCACGGCCAGGACAAACACCGGCCACCTGACGTTTCTATTTTATCTTGCAGCCCTCTCTCCCCTACGAGTTTCTGTACTTTTAAGCTAGATGAATCAGTCAGTCCCTAGTATGTCCTCATGCGGTTCCCTTACAGATGTCTCGTGTGAATAAGAGAAAGGCGTTTTGCATTTGAAGCAGGAGCCTAAGGCAATTCTTGGCATGACTTCGAAGTGATTATGAAGGGCTTGCGACTGCGCGCCCTGTCAAACGTAGAAAGTTTTGGTCTCATTGCCTTGCGCCGTATCTTGGCGCGGAAACCCCCAACTCCCAAATTAGTGGCGAACTTGCCGCATTACATCGAATCACGTAGAGTTTGCTCGAAAATTCAGAATTTCTGTGGATCGAATTCATGTATAACGCTGAGGCATCCCAGGCCGACCTTTGAAACGAATTTAGGAAATAGTTGAGTACGAAAGGATCCTAGTTTATAGGGCGTGGAATCCTAAAATAGAAAGACGCCCCTCATAATACCCGAGAGCAAGGGTGGCATCCTTATTGACGATGCTCAGGAGGCAGCCACAGTATATTTTGGTCTGCTGAGCCAAGCCAGTTATTTGATGGTAAAGATACTGGAGACTTGTAGTTATGTGACAGTCACAATTACTATCATGTAGTAGTGGAATACTGAAGACCCTAGTCCCAGTATGTCCCATATTGGCCGCTAATTAGGAGACCGCCACTGATCGAACCTGATCGAACCTGCTCGGAATGGCCATTGTCTGCTGAGGAAGGAAGACTGCTATGGAGGGAGGACCTAAGAAGGGAAGACTGCTATGGGGGGAGGACTACTGTGGAGGGAAATCTACTGAGGAGGGAAGACTGCTATGGAGGAAAGACTGCTATGGAGGGAAGACTGCTATGGAGGGACGTCTACTGTGGAGTGATGTCTACTGTGGAGGGCAGTCGACTAAGGAGGGCAGTCGACTAAGGAGGGCAGTCGACTAAGGAGGGCAGTCGACCAAGGAGGGAAGTCTACGGAGGAGGGAAGTCTGCGGAGGAGGGAAGTCTACGGAGGAGGGAAGTCTACTGTGGAGGGAAGACTGCTGAGGAGGGAAGTTCATTGAGGGTCGCTCAGTACAGTCGCGTTGAGCAATGAAGAGGAGTTGGGATCAATTGCGAGTCACATGATTGGATAGTCCAAGTTCTTTAGTTCAAACAAACCTGAAACTGACGGAGGTAACAGCAATGAGCCATCATTTCGCATCCGACCAGTCATTGTTGTTGAAAGGTCACGGTCATCACCGGGCCTGAGCCCTCGTCACCAGCCGTGAGCCCTCATCATCGTTCCCCAGGTGTACCCCCGAAGTACTAGCTACCAAGCCAACAAAGCTCTTGTCACGAAGTCTGTCAATGCTCGGAGGCGTTTTCTGCTTATTACCGCTTGACTTCGATGACGAGGTATGTAAAACTGGATGACGCGAAAATGGGTATCAATGTCAGGGACGGGCTTCCCAACGGTCGGTCGATTACCTGCACAGTCTTTGTAGAGACGGCGATCCGTACGGCTCCAAGAAGAACGGGAAGACTGGAGACAGGTATTGTGGACAGTGGAACGTCGAATATGCTGCAACCAACAATATCCCCCCTGCTTAACTGTGTAAGGGAAAGGTGACTATCGGACACCTCGCATATGCAGAGAGAAGAATCAAGGACAATGGTAGGTACTGGCGTAAGGATGAAAATCTGCTCTAAAGGTGCGGTTGATGATGCGAGGCCCTTCGTTTCATAGCGATTAGCCGGTAAAGAACTAGATTCTGGCCGTTGACATTGCGGAGCCATGCTGGCAGGTTCGATGATTTGCATACAGTCTGGGGAAATCCTTTTGAGTAGAGGAGTTTGCGCCCTCATCCTCACCACCGCCGAAGCCGTTCACAGGACAGCTTGCCAAGTGTCAACCAGCAAGGACAACTCACGTGACTTAACCTCCCAAGCAAGGTTCGTCGAGGTTCCATCAGCGGGTGCCCCTTCCACCCAATATCTTGCCAAGCTAGACTGTCTCATCGTATCACCTCCTAGTTAACCCCAATTAGCAAGGTCAGTAAGGATACGGCCCTGATGTTGCAGAATGGACAGAGCTAGAACTGCGGCGTGAGGTCATCTGGTAGGTTCCTTGGCGAGCCAAACTTCTCTGGAAGCGTTAAACCCATCGAAGTCTCCAAGGCTCCTTCCGTATAACTTTACTTTTCTGGTCTGATTATACTATCATTCCTGCCTTATACTACGTCGGTTATCCATGGAAATGACGAATGTTCAGAAATCAACGTCAGAGCTCTCTGCTACCGCCAGTCTAAATCGCGTAACATCACTGATGGACTATCACCGAATAATGCTAGTCCATACCCCTCCGATCGCCAGCTCAAATTGCAAAATGTCTCCGGAAGACTACCGCCGGGCCATGCTAGTTTATACCATGGACCAAATGGCCGCGTTTATCATGTCAGACAAGGCAACTCGCGGTACTACATCAGCAGCCTGCAGCGCCAACAATACCAACAATAGCAGTTTTGTCAGCGCACCGACTGCCCGTGGTAGTGGTCGACTAGTAACAACCTTGGCCTCTCTGCCTGAGCCACGTAAGAACGACCACGGGAGACGTCCTGCCAGTGAGGGCGCGATGAGACATGCCCTCAATGCACAGATGTTAGCGCCTCAGGGCTGGTCATGGCATCTCACTATTGGGTGGGAATGTGGCTGCGGAAGCCGAAGAACGCTTAGCGCCGCAGTACTACTGATTTCTCCTTAGACGTTATTCAAGTTGGTATCAATAGGGGGAAAAAAGGTGTTTGTCTGACCTCAAAATCTTGAATGCTGTTCAATGCGGAAGATCACGTGAAAAGATCGCGATGGAAGACAGGTCATGAACTCCAGGTTGACCCATTAGAACCGTCCGAGGTGAAACGGGTAGCGCGAAAGGATGCGAGAAACAGAGATGCCACATACATGACAAAAATCGGCATGTTAACTCCAGTGCAGTGTTTCGAGGCCGCGATTGAGGATGCAACCAATACGATTCTCATGGAACTCGATGGGGAGCTCGTGTTGGATGAAGAAACAATGGCGTCTACTGCACGGGAAATGGAACTTTGAATGTTGAGGAATTAGAGTAATTAGACCTTTGTCGTAGGTTCTATGTCCGAAGTGGTCCACAAGCATCAGATCAGTAGCCCACTTAGGCAGCAAACCGTTCGGGACGCGCGTTGGCTGTCCGCAGGCCCAGCTGGCTCATGGTCCGCGGCCCGTGGTCTGGCCAGGATTGCGGACGACTGTTCTAAGGACAGGGGCTAAAGTCACTGGATTTCCGTCCCTGGGCAAGAAGCTTTAGCTTAAAAGCTCCTGCTTGTGAGTACTGGCTTTTCTGCGGTAATGTCCCATGGCCCAATATGGCTTGTAACCGTCGGCTTTCCCTTAAAACATGTTAAGTTGTTAAGGTGTGGAATATCATGAAGATAAAACAAGAAGCACAGGCGAAAATCACAGTATGAGTATTATATCCCTTTCCGGCGCCATAGAGACTTCAGATCCGCCGTAAATGCATCTGCAACGACGAAACCCCTTGTCGAAATGTCTCGAAACATCGCATGAATTGACTCTGTCTCTGGAGCGGCTGTTACTCTTGCGCCTGCTACTCTCAACGGGAAGAAAAACAACACAGCCGCCAAATTTGTGGTCTTCAAAGTGATCTCAGTCATCCGTAGAATCGCATCGACGTGTTTCTGAACAACGGCCTGTGAGATTATGGGTGTGGGTATTTCGTTGAATTGAGCGCGGTAGTCGAAGATTCCAGACAGGTAGATGGAGATGCTGTGAAAATATATTGTTGCGAGAACGGACTGGGGATTATGTGCGGGCGTACCAGTATCGGCCGACCACTTTTGGAAGGTCGCATACCAATCACCAAGAGCTGACCGAACAACGAAGCCTTCAGCGGCAAGCTCAAGAAGGGCCTTGTGAAGGAGCATGCTCGGATAATTGGAGCCCGGTTTGAGCAGACCCCATACCCTGAGCTTGGTCAATCATACAATAATCTATAGAGGGCCTGCGAGTGTACTTGCCGGTGACTTATCGAAGAACAGGTGATCATCAGATCAAATAATGGTTCCTTTGGGTGCCAGTCGTTGTTGAGATCCTCGTTCCAGATCTTAGTTGTGAGTGACATCCATTCCGACCGGCAGAGAAAAGTAGGTTCAGGGTATATGAGGGCGCGACAAATCTCAAAGACTCGCACTGTGAGGAAAAATGGCCGCCCGGAGCCAGATATATGGGCTTCTGGGCCACGAAGCTGAAGCATATTGGACGTGCCGTACAGAAAATGCTTCACCCAGCCTTCTCCAGTCATATCATGCATCAGCTAATTGAAAGGGTTAACCTCAAGCTTCCGATATACTTTCCGCCCAAGGCACTGTTGACCTACTTCGAACAGCCCCAAGAAAAAAGTAGTCCATAAATTGACGTCTCGTGGCACGCTGTTGCTTACAATCTCGGTTTTCAATTTGGCAATCGAGGTGTGGTAGGCCGTTAATGCTCCCACAGCCGCATCTTTCCTCTCCAGAGGTATAGTCAGCAGCGTCTTCCTGCTCAGATCAAGTGCACCCAGGGCAATGGATGCGTGATACATGCTGGGAGACCTCTGGAATTCCGACATGATAGTGCCGAGGTCCAGGGGGCCACCAAAGTCATTTCTTGCCAGAAAGTCTGAGAAGAAATGCTTTACAAATAGAGCTGAGCTTCCTTCCGAAACTTTGGGGCAGAGCCTAAGTGTGGGAAGATGAGTGGCGGGCGAGAGACAGTCGGACCTTTTGGATGGCGCAGTGACATTGACAAAGACAACGCTAGCCTTTGGCTGAATTGCTTGAGGAACGCATTGCTGATTTCTTTTTATACAATACTGACAGGGAGGACCACCTTCGCACTACAGAGGGTTAAAATAGAGCCGGGGGAAAAGGAATGAACAGTTTTCGCTGACAGATTCGATGAGAAGGAATTGCTGACCTTGATTCTGCGTCGTGTACAGGCCGCGCACCTGGTACGAGCAGTGCGCCGATCGAGTGGTCCCAGGACAGCCATTCTCAAACTAACGGTCGGAAAATTTTATGGGCATTCCGTGCAGGAAGTGTTACCCCTCCCAAGTTGTACAGAGCGGAAGGTTTGAGCCTTCCCATGCCAAGACATATACGTACAAAACTATAACCGCCTTTCCTGAATAGGCAGCATTTGAACGCAGTTTCTTGGCACAGGCATCAGCCAAAAGATGAGATAGAGCCGAGCATATCACACATCCGCAGAAAGAATCCACAAACGCGCTGAATCATTGCCTTATTAGGTAGTATGAACGTCAAGATGAGCCGACTCATCAGACCGGATGGACGCCACAGAGTCCGCGGGATTGACTTCAGAATCCTATATAAGATGAAGAGCTTCCTCCTGTTTTCCCTGCAAGAAGATAATTCCCATCTTTTCTTTCCTATAACACAATTCTGTCCCCTTTGTCCCTTAACTACTTGCTATGATGTTCAACCTCTCTGCAAAACATCTTATGCTCGCTGCTCTTTTTACCCAGCTTCTCCTGAGCAGCAACGCGGTGTCCTTCCCCGGCACAGTAGGCCCATACAACACCAGCATCGCAACAACCCAGCTAATTGATCATCATCGTTTGGATCCCTACGCCCCAACGCCGCAGCCGCGTACTCTGATGATCTCTCTCTTTCATCCCGTCCCTCCCGCAGCATGTTGCCCATCCCTGACGTCCTACATGGACCCCATCACCGCCACCTTCGAGGATGAACAGTATGCACAGGCTGGCATCCCAGCAGGCGCCTTCGGCTCACTTACCCTTCAAACCTGCAAGCCATGTACGAATTCAACTTCGAGTCGCCGGGTCAAGGGCCCAAAATATCCGCTCGTTCTCTTCTCACCTGGCCTGGGGAATACTCGACTCTTGTACAGTGCTATGGCCCAGCAGTGTGTATTCCTTATCTTCTGTTCCCTGCTCATCTAGAGCTTTAAATCTGCAGGTCTCGCTAACTTTCACTTCCCTAACAGACTGTCCAGCACTGGCTACATCGTCGTAACCGTCGACCATCCCTATGACGCAGGCATCGTAACATTCCCTGACAATACCACAATCCTCGCCGCGAACATTACAACCGATACCCAAATTGTGGATGACCTGAACATCCGCGTGAGAGACGTATCCTTCGTCCTCGACCAGCTCCACCGTCCATCCATCATCTCAAAGCTCATCCCAGGCCAAACATGTGGGTTAGATACCTCTAAAGTGGGAATCTACGGTCACTCCCTTGGGGGCGCCACCGCAGCTGAGGCTATGCTTTCCGATTCCCGTCTCAAGGGGGGTATCAATCTGGACGGTACATTTTTCGGCTCTGTTATCAACCGGGGATTGGATAAGCCCTTCATGATGATGGCGCATGAAGGGAAGAATTTGACAACTGATGTCACTTGGGGCGCTCTGTGGCCAAAGTTGAAGGGTATCAGGAGACGATTTATGCTGAATGGGAGTACACATGGTACATTCACAGATTTGGCGCAGGCTGCTGATATAATTGGTCTGAGAGAGGAATTTCCGACACAGGCGGCCGCATTATTGGGGAGTATTGATGGGGGAAGAGCCCTTCAGGTTATTGCTACTTACACTAGCAGATTCTTTGACTTTGTTTTGAAGGGAAAGAAAGTTGAGTTATTGGATATGTCCAGTATGGAGTTTCCTGAGGTGACTGTTGGGGAAAATTAACTCCAGGTAAGGTACCTAGTTCTAGGAAGTGCTAAGATATTATAAGTCATCCATAGCCTGATTCAGTAATCTTGTCCAATACATGCAGCAGTAATCAAGCTAAAGGACTATCACAGGCCTTGATTCGCCCGTCCACTTACAGTATACCAGACAATTCTTCCTGGCCTCTTTCAGCCCCTCTCCCCAAGTTTTATGCAGAAAATCCATGGTATAGTGTACCAGCACCCAGGCTGCCAGGTCAGATTTTGGCATTCCTTGTAATTCCACCCTCTATCTTACTATACTAATAGCTTACAACTAACCTCTGTCGCTACAGCATGAAATGCACCTACGGTTACATGCGCAGGAGGTACATCGGCTTCGTACCTGAACGTTAGGGAACTCGGAAATTATTTTCTTCCTACTACTTCCCCCTGCTACAGGATAGTGAAATAGTTAAATTGTCTTCATTATCACGATCTCCTTTGCAAAGCCTTGTGAGAAAAGTTTTTATACTGTATGCAGTCTGTAGGACTCAAACTGGGTATGTAAGCTACCCTGTTCCGCAGAGAATACCTCAAGGGCCAAAAGCGGTAAGAGTAAGTTTTTGAATTTCCCGAACCCTGACTGTGCCCTACGCACTTCATCCATTGCTCATCTAGCACGATGGACCAGGTCTTTCGGAAAATTCTTGGCGAAGCAAGAGAGTTTGGCAAAGGAACTAAGCCGCAGAGAGCGTGCCTCAAGCGGGCTTGCGGCGCTGTAGTGTGTGTGGCTGTGGCCGACAGGACGCGGGGCTAGGCGCCCTTGCTATCAGCCTTGCTCTTGAACTCATAAATAGGCGCAACCACCGACTGGCAAGACAGAACACTTTCTACTGTTACCAGCCGACCAGCTCGACTCACATGCCCCAATGGCAACTCTAAGTGACCTACCACACGAGGTGCTGACGATTATTTTTCAGGCTCTATCTCCCTCAGCAATTATATCTACCTGTCTTGTTTCTAAGCGCCTCTATGAAGCCTGCCTTCCTGTCCTCTACGCTTCATTCAAAGCAAGTGGCAATCCAAAGCAAACTTGGAGAAGATTCCAATCGTTCCTGAACATGATCACAAGAGACCATTCTCTTGGTCGACGTGTCAAATCAGTTCTTATCGATGACATCAACGACGATGATATTGCAGCCTTACAGAATTCAATTGTTCCATTGCTATCTCAGGCATCAAACATACAACAATTTGCAATACCTGGACACCCAAATCTGCTGCCCGCGCTGAAGCGACCGCTCTTTTCAGGCGATCTTCCCCTCCAACGCCTACGAGCCTTTCAATGTGTGAACTGTGGGCCTGAGATATGGGAAATCATACCACATTTTCCGCTGTTATCTCGGCTATCTCTAAGGAATCTTTCATGTGACCCATCTACACTGCATCTACAGGCATCCAGTCTACCTATTGAGCATATCTTGCTTGAGGGATGTAACCTTGGTTCACAAGCTATATGTGTGATGATCAGGAGCTGCAAACATCTAGTGAGCTTCTAATATCTTCGTCCTCTCCTTCGCTAAGAGGCTTTCATAGGCATTATGCCCCTCAATGCTCCAGATATATATGAAGCTTTGCTTCTTCACAAAGATCACCTGGGAGAATTTCTTGTGCAGGATCATGACTACCGAATATCATACGATGAGACCCTAAAGTTTAGATCTTTCGGAGACTTTCCTGCTCTTCAGAGGCTTGGTGTGGACTGTAACACCCTATCCGTGAAAGCGTCTTTACCGCCGTCACTGCGTTCGATAGCAATCTGGTACTGCAGCTCATTTAAATCCATAGATGTGCTGCTCTATCTAGCTCGCCATCCATCAGTGGAAGCGATCCAATTTGATGAGTCTGATGGGGGGACCGCTATTTTCTTCCAACAGTTGCAATCATCGGGGCGGATACGGAAGGAAATCCAGGTTCATCTTGTTTCTACGTATGCTACCTACGCCAGGCAATCCAACCATCTAAGCCTGGTTAATTATCCTTTGCCCTGGATTGGTGTCCCAGAACTCAGCTAAGGATCTCCGATTGCCAATTCAAATTTATGGGTTAGGTATCCAGCTTATAGAGTGCCCCTTAGGCTAATTGTCGGCCGACCACTGCTAGCCTACGCTGAAGTGGCAACGCTGTTTCTTGGAATGAGGGCCGACTGCTATTGCTTGTCTAGGTCCAGTTACGTAGCACTGTTCCTCCGGTCAAGCACAGACAGATATAGTCAGACTTCGGACAAGCAATGGAGAAGTACTATTATTTTAAGTGACACATGGGCTCAACGTCAAGCAACCCTTCACCCACCGGTCCCCCTTTACGCCTCGTATCCACGGGGCTGGAACAAAAATGAGCGCCTAGTTGATACTTTCCTAAGATTTACGAAGATGGCCACCATTATATCCCCTTTAGGCGCCGGATTTGGTGAACCTGTATTGATTGGTCCTACTCTCTGGCCAAAGATCAGCGGGCAACGTCATCAAAAATAAAAGATCACTATTTAGAGATGGCGACGTGTTAGTGTTCCACGCTTGCTTACGGGCGGGCATAGCTGCTGAACGTTCTAGAGCACTGTCTAAAGCAAAAAACATCAATGTGCAGTTAGCGAAGGTCATTGATCCCACCAGAACAACTGTGCGATCTTCTGGTCGGCTTCAATCCTACTCCTAACGAATTACATTTATGCTCAAATGATATATGTTTGGCTGTGACACTCAGCCATACTCATACTGACACGGACTTCGCGTGATTTATGTGTGAACAACGGCGGTAAACGGCTTGATCTGTATGGTCGGTCTGCACAACCCAGCGGCAAATCGAAAGAGATAATTTGGCGAAAAGCTTTCGCCTCCCATTATAGAATCGACGCAGTCTACTTTGGCTTGCGCCCACATCCATCGGAGATGACGACCATTATTTACTCTCGTCGCATCAACCTCCATACATCCACCAACCCCTCCATCTCCTTAGTGCCGTTCAGCGACCTGGAACCTCGACTTCTTCTCTCCTATGTTGCTATCTGCAACTTGAGTCAACTGATTCAGTATGGATTTGGGTCCGTATCTCGCCTATGATGGTGTGAACTACGAATGTACTATCTGTGACCGCTTTTTCTGCTCTGAATCTGCACTTTACGCCCATTGTAGGCAGACATCACAACACCAATGGTGTGAAAGGTGTTTCCGGGTCTTCGTTTCGACTCAAGCGAAAAATACGCATCTTCGAACGTCCAGCAGACATAATGTCTGTTCGACCTGTCCTCAACTACAAGACTTTGCTACCGGCGAAGAGCTTCAAGACCACTTAGTGAAGTCCCATCATTTTTGTCCAGAGTGCAACGTCTATTATGATTCTGTTGAGCAACTGCAGAAACATGAAATTAACCAGCACCACCTTTGCGTCAAATGTGGTGACTACTTTGAGAACAAGAATAATTTGCAAATGGTAGTACACCAGCTAGAGTTGAATAGTTCAATATGTCTATTGCTGACAGTATCGTTTCTTCAGCATCAGCAGAAACATCAACCTCGAAACCTGGAATGCTACGGTTGTTATCAAAAATTTAAATCTTTTTCCGGAATGTTAATCCATCTGGAGTCTGGAAATTGCGCGTCGGATACTACCGAGGAGGAAATTGACGATATAGCCCACACTTGTTGCCAGGGCCGGAAGTATATAAATGATGATCCCGAGGACGGAGGCCAGCTCTACAGATGCCCCAGCTGCGAAACGAAGTTCTCAAAGCTTTCTGCACTTTACCAACATGCGGAGGATGTCCCACCGTGCTCTTCTCCTCTCAATGGACACGGTTGTCTGGCTAAGCTAGAACGATTTATTGCTCGCAGACTACAGTAGCTTCACGTCTTCCTCTGGGTCATTTCCTTATGATGTTAGACAACAAGGTCTCTCGGTTGCTATATTCAACATTCTAATCGATATAGTATCGTCACCAAACTGATATGCCCTGCTTCATCTTCTTCTCATGAGATTTTCGTGATTCACATGCAAAAGCACAAGTTATTCCCTTATTATCGCATTCACCGCCTTCGTGGAAGACAGGGTGCTTGCCAGGCTGTCGATCAAAGGAGGAGCAAAACGATGAGGCAGCTGTCCAGAAACCTTGGCCATGAAACGTCACAATTTAAAGCTGTGAGACCTGTGAACCAGGTTGGTCGACAAATCATGCTTTACGCAGTACTACGACCGAGGTCCTTCAATACACGGGTGTTAGCGCCTCAGTACTGGAAAGGTCATTTGAGTGGGGACATGGCTGCGGAAGCCTAAAGCCTCGCGCCGCGGTGTTACCGCAGTCCACAGAAAAGTGGCATGGGTACCTGCCAAGCATTTCCGCAGCCACAACTAGCTGTGGAGCACCCAGCAACAAGGCGATAAAATTCTGGGCAAGGTAATTCGAAGGCTGAGGGGTTTGAGAGCCACGGATTGAGAGCCAGCCTGGCCGCAAGGCTACTTGCAGCTGTCCAATGATTGTTATCGCTAGATCTATGTCCCACGCTTCCAGTCCCTGACCTTTGTATCTCAGCCACTAATTCTGATTGGCCTGAACACCACGTCACGGGTCCTATCGAGTCTTCGGACCAGTGACGTTAGCATCTCTGGTCCGCGAGGCCGTACAGGTCGTAGATCCAGAGCTTCGAACCACTTTTGGCCCCAAAGCTCCTGGCAAGAATCCCAAGCCACCGAAGGCCAAGGAAGCGATATGCGTGTCTCTCATAGCCAGATCGGGAAGGAGACAGCTGTTCTAGAACGTATTTACCCCGGTGAGTCGTTTCACGTAATCGGATACCTCTTACCTGGCAATCTTTCTCGGTGGGAACTTCACGTTCCTGACTTCGTCTCAAGAGGATATTCACAAGAAGGCATTCCTCTTGTTGGATGTCTTCCGAGCCAATCTGCCCACGTCAGATCCTTTCATATACGGACATAACCAAGAGCATCTAATCATGACTGACCTTATATGGCATACCCACATAAAAAGGTGTAGATATTCCGTAAATCAACATAGGAAATGCCTCTCGGGTGGTCAACTGCTGTGAGAGGTTTCGCTCATGGCGGTCTAACTCATGCTGGTCTACAGACCGCTTATGTGCTGCTCTACATATCTAGCCATCCGTTGTTGGAAGCGATCCATGGGAGCCCGCTATTTCCTTTCAACAGTCGCAATCGTTGGGGCAGATACGATGGAAATCCAGATTCATCTTGGGGCAGTGATGGAATGCCCAATCTTCTGGGAGAGAGGCACAAAAGCTGACCGCGGACAGCAGCTAAATCATGCAGGACGGAGAGAACTTGCTAGAGGGAAAGACGACAGGGGAGAGAAGACTGCTGAGAACGGAAGACTATGAAACGGGAGACGCTGCGGAGGTGAAGCTGAGCCACAAAGGAGTTGATAAATGTGGGAGGGCCGCAACGGTCCACGTCCATGATCATAGCAATCGGATTGTAGAGCAACAGAGGGTAATTCCAACAAGGCCGAATATGGACTAGTACTGACAAATTGAGCATTCCGTAACTCACACTCTCAATCCCAATCAAGCGTGAAACAATGACGGAGGTGATCGGTAAGGAGCCGTTGTTTCACTTCCCACTAATCATTTTTGTCCACGTACTACGTCATCACCAGGCGCGAGCCCTCAGCACGAGGAGTGAGCACTTGTCACGTGTGCGCCGACTAAGCTGATGATGTTAAGGCCACATAAACAATGCTAACACGAACTTAAGCTAAAAAGAGCATAGTGGTAATTCTGCCAAGATAAGTAAATACTCAATGCAGTCAAGCGCTGAGTCTCTATCACGTGTCTTCATCCAGACAGGTGAGCCCTCATCACGACTGCTAATAGAGATGGTGATGAGCCCATCAGTTAAAAGAGCACAAGGGCAGCATACCCAGCATGGCACAGTTCTCTCGCTTTACTCCGCCGCTCTCAGAGGGAAAGAATAGTAGATGATGGCGCCAAAGAAAAGGACCATCGGGAAGAGGAAGCTAAATACGCCGCGAGCAAAAGGCCAACAGCGAAGCTGACGAAGAGACAGTCTGTTTCGGAAGGCCTTTGAGTACTGCTTTGAGTGCGATGCGGATATCTTTTTAATTATCCGACTGAAGCACAACGGTCAATCATTCATGTTCAACTCAGATAGCCACTGGCCTGTTGTGAAAGAAGACATCGTAAGTATCTGCCATGGAAATAAGGAAAGAAACGTCTTAACGACTTATCAGTTCTTGCAGTATCCAACGCCGAAGGCTATAACCTGGCAAGACCTCTCTGCAAGATATATCAACAGAATGAACGAACCCAAGCAGCGCAAATAGATCAATCCAAGAGTGGTACCAGACCTAATATCTCGCCAAAAGGAGGCCGAACTTGAACGCAAAGATGGCATGCTCATTGAACGACGGAAACCGGCTCGATCGACATGCAGGGATTCATGAGATATCTTGTCTTTCTTTGATTGCCCGGCAGCTGGGTTGGAGAACCACGCGGTTTATACAGTATCACTGCAGGTTGCCTTTATGCCTTTACCTAACAACTGGGTCTGTGATATCCATCGATGAAGTTGCTATTGAGTGTCTTTAGAGCAGTATCTGTCTGGGACGGCGCAAGAAAGTTCTGTGTTGACTGACAAAGGCATAAATATAGTGTTCGAGGCCATTAAAGGATGAAGACAGGACTTATCATTAGTCATTTCCTGTAGTATATCTTGGACAAATCAGAATGCCGACCTAGGTCCCGTTAGCGCCTTTCTTCCGGTAGGGTATGGTCGGATACAGCCAGATAGTGCGGACGACGGACATCAGAAATGATGTTATTTCGAGTATAAGTACACTAGGAAGTGCAAGTGCACCAGGGGGTGTAAGTGCACTAAGAAGTATAAGTGCACTAGGAAGTGCAAGTGCACCAGGGAGTGTAAGTGCACCAAGAAGTGCAAGTGCACTAGAATGGCTGGAGAGTCAATGAGACTTGTGGAACTTCTGGCGACATGAATTAACTGGACAACGGTAAGGCTCCTTTCTGCATAATCCATTGGTCCTGTGAGTTCTGACTTTGGTCCTGTCAGTCCTGACTATCGGCCAGAGGAGACACTTCCCAGCTACGCGTAGACCGTCAGCGTATTCTAATCGATTATTCGGAGGAGCTTCGGATCCAAATGATTTGTTCTTCGAATGGAAAACCCAAGTTCCTGAGGCGTGGTAGCAAGGGCAGTCACAAGAGGAATGCTTGCAATGGCCCCTAGTAGGATTCAAGAGGGAGTCAATGGATATTTTAGAAGAGGACATTATCACTGGAAACGCACCGAGGGTTTCGATGCTCGTGTTGAAAATTGCTTAGTTGTGATGACAAGGCTGTAACCTGCTTTAAACTCGAGTACCACTGCGACCGCATGCACGAACCCCTTACATGATTGCGATAGATCTTACCGCAAAAGTACCTAATGGCGTTGTTTACCAACATAGAACTTGGTGACTCTGCTGTTTGCCTGGCTTGCACTAGTCCTAATTAGTAATTACACTTGCAAATCAGGCCACGACAGCGACTGGGCCACATCTCCCACCCCTGAACATCCAATGACTGAATCAAATCTCCCATCCAAGTTGGCGTCAAAGCAAGACGAGAATTCTGTAACGAAGGCTGTTATGGGCATGATAGTGATAGAACCGCCCAGATGCGGTGGAAAGCTGCCCTGAACACCAGCACTAATTCATATCTTCCAGAGGTGTACTTTAATTTAGTCGCTTGGGACTATGTAGGTTCGCAGAAGAATCACAGGTAGACGATGAGGGAGTCATGTGAGACAGCCTTGCAGGACACGAAGCTGCCCTCTTCCTTCCCCAACCTGAAAGTTTCTTCATTTGGTCCCTGTACGCCATTAGATTACCTCTACACCTGTGACGCGAGTCTTCAACCACTATAGGCTATATTTCCATCCGGTGCCTGTTGTGACAACGATGGTTTCCCTCACACCTAATGACTACACCATCGCGTGGATATGCGCCTTGCCTTTAGAGGCAGCAGCAGCAAGCGCTATGCTAGACAAGACCCACACCCTACCTCCACTGTCTTCTGACCCCAACGCATACGAACTTGGCGAATTGAACGGCCATTATATAGTCATTGCCTACCTACCAGCTGGCGTATATGGAACCGTGTCTGCCGCTACTGTCGTATCTCGCATGCGTTCAACGTTCCTACGGCTTCAGTTTGGACTGATGGTGGGAATTGGAGGGGGTGTCCCGGGGGAAAAAAATGACATCCGATTAGGCGATGTAGTTGTCAGTAAACCAGGTCCAAATCACGGAGGGGTGATATAATATGATTATGGCAAGGCAGTTGAAGGTGGGACATTCGAGCCAACAGGCACCTTAAACAAACCACCACAGACTCTTTTGACGCATATGAGTCGACTCGAGACAAGACAGATGATTGGGGGGGAGGACGCTGTTTCAAAAACAGTGTGGGAAGTACTAGAACGAAACCGCAACTTGAAAGACAGATTTTCTCCCCCAAAAGAGCATACAGACTTCCTTTTTCATTCCTCCTATCGCCACTTCGACAAGGAAGATACTTGCGAAAAGTGCGATAAAGAGCAATTAGTCAAACGACCACCGCGTGACACAAGGACGCCTTATATCCACTATGGATTGATCGCCTCCGGGGATCAGGTGATGAAGGACTCAGAAACGCGAGACCGGCTAGCTCAACAACATGGGATACTTTGCTTCGAGATGGAGGCAGCAGGCCTTATGGATGAGCTTCCGACACTTGTGATCCGAGGGATATGCGACTATTGTGATTCCCATAAGCAGAAACAGTGGCAAGGATATGCAGCTTTGACAGCAGCTGCCTATGCAAAATTATTATTATCAGTCATGCCTGTTTGCCGTACTGATTCTAGCTTGCGGCACTGGGTGGTCTCACTAGCAAGAAATCCGAAATTTGTCGGTCGCCAGGACGAAATCACAAAGCTAGAAGAATTAATCACAATACAAGATGGGCCCAGGAGGGTTGCAATTACTGGCTTGGGAGGGGTCGGGAAGACACAAGTGGCCCTGGAGTTAGCACACCGCATACGGGACCGAGACAAGGAGTGCTCAGTTTTCTGGGTTCCATGTACTAGCCATGCGATGATTGAGCAGACATTCTCCAGTATTGCACAGACACTTGGACTTGATGGCACGAAGGCAGCAGAGGCTAAAGAACAGATCAAGATATACCTTAGCTCCAAGCGTGCAGGAAAGTGGCTTCTGATTTTTGATAATGCGGATGACGCAGAGATGTGGTTAGCAACCAGTCACACAGCTCCTGCCCTTGAGGACTTTCTCCCTCAGAGTGAACAAGGCCGTATTTTGTTCACTACGCGAAACCGAAAACTTGCCATGAAGCTGGCACCGTTCTATACTGTTCCAATTCCAGATGTGGATAAAGAAACCGCATTAAAAATTCTGCAAAGGACATTGGCACACAAGGACTTGCTCAAGGATAATATCACAACAGCCACTCTCCTAGAGCAACTGGCCTTTCTCCCCTTGGCAATTACACAGGCATCAGCATATATTATTGAAAACGGTATAAGTCTGTCTACCTACCTTGCGCTTCTCCAAGATCAGGAACAGGGTGCTGTGGAACTCCTTAGCGAAGACTTTCGTGATCCAGGACGCTATAAGGATATCCAGAACCCTGTTATCACCACCTGGTTAATATCATTTAAACAGATTCAGCGGCAAGATCAACTAGCAGCAGAATACATGTCTTTTATGGCCTGTATTGATCCACGAAATATCCCCCAGTCTCTTCTTCCTCTCCAAACATCCAAGAAACGGAGACTTGACGCTCTGGGGCTTCTGAATGCATACTCATTCATCAGCAGCCAAGACATGCATATAAGTATGCACAGACTTGTGCATATTGCGACCCGGAACTGGCTTAGAAAGCATGGACTGCTTAGTGACTGGATCCGAAGGGTGGCTGGTCGGATACAGGAGGTTTTTCCAGATAACCACTATACTAATCGAGGACTTTGGCGAGAATATCTCCCTCATGCTTTGGCACTTGTGCAAGGAAATGAGTTCATTATGGAACAAAACATGGATTTGGTCAAGAGGATTGCAGCTTGCCTTGCTAGTGATGGAGCATATTGAGAAGCTGAGGTTCTGTACAAGGAGCTGCTGGAAATCCATCAGGAGAGAAATGGGCCCGAACATCCCTCCACTCTGACTAGCATGGCCAACCTGGCATCAACCTACCGGAAGCAGGGACGATGGGATGAAGCTGAGAAGCTAGGAGTGCAAGTAATGGAGACAAGGAAGATGGTGCTAGGAGCTGAACATCCCTCCACTCTGACTAGCATGGCCAACCTGGCATCAACCTACCGGAACCAGGGACGATGGAATGAAGCTGAGAAGCTGGAGGTTGAAGTAATTAAGACAATGAAGACAGTGCTGGGAGCTGAACATCCCTCCACTCTGGCTAGCATGGCCAGCCTGGCATCAACCTACCGGAACCAGGGACGATGGAACGAAGCTGAGAAACTGGAGGTGCAAGCAATTGAGACAATGAAGACAGTGCTGGGAGCTGAACATCCTGACACTCTGACCAGCATCAATAACCTTGCCTATACTTTGGAATCCCAAGGAAAGCTTCAAGATGCGTTGGCTCTCATGAAAAAATGCTGAGTTGCGCAGCAAAGTCTTTGGGCGGAACCACCCGAATGCTAGATCCTCGTCTCTTGCTCTCAGTGGCTGGATTGATACGTATAGTTCATTAGAAGATCGTACACCGCTCACTCAAATAGAATTCCTGCAGCAGGTTTCAACAGGTCCTCCAACAGCTGTGGCAATCACCCAGTCAGCCCGTGAAGAGCACATCAATCTACCTTATCCCCAGAGGCGGTCAGCTGCTAACTTATATCTTGGAAAACATCCTCTTATCATCGCTTCCAGAACACGTTCGCCCGCGCTGGGAGGCCAAGACTTAGAAGAAGTGGATTAGCTTGTCGCCGTCATGAATCTGCGCCATTAAGGTGGGCAATAGACGATGGGAGTTATAGGAGCACATTTGTACACTAGGAAATCCCTGACCTTGTGGTAACTGTGTGAAATTGTGGTACAAAAAAAATAAATAAATAAATAAATTAAAAAATAAAAAGAATGAGAATGAAAAAGAAAAGAAAGCCAAGAAATCCTTCACCGATGGACTACACGCAGTATTGATTGCGCTAAAACTGGGGCAGACTGGGCGGGAACCGCTGTCAAAGTGGGCCTGGTTTGACAGCAGTCGTAATGTGACAGCAGTCCTGACTTGACAGCAGTCCTGATCTGACAGCAGTCGTAATGTGCAGTCCTGGTTTGACAGCAGCAGGATCCTGTCCATCGCGAAGCATGAACTTGAGGACTTCGGGCAACAGAATTGAACTGAAAAATAATATCATGTACGGCTTAGATAGTGCATAGAAACCTTCTCATTTCTTGATCATAATACTACTGCTAGAGACTAGTATGTGATATTTTGCACGGGGCACCTCGCTGCATATTCCATCGCCTTGTAAATAAACATTCCCATCCGGCCAACCCCCGGGAATTTGAGAAGAAAATCATGCTTGAAGATATTAGATATAGATTACTCCGTTGGTAGACGTTGACTTGCCTTCAGTAAAGTTGATATGGAGGAAGTGCCAGTCAACTGAATAAAACTACGGCAAAGCTCACTAACCTCTTCGGGGTTCTCTAGCTGGAGGCTTTCTGGATTGCGGCCACTGGTCCCAGGCTCCTTCATACTTACGAGCAACGTCCCCACAGCAGCTATATCTCGAGAATAACTTCCTTGTTGGTGTTTAAGAATGGATGCTGCAATATTTGCTGCGCATCATGTAGATCAGCAGCAAGCCCATGAACTGTTTTAATTGACTGACCTAACTTTAGATGGCAATCACGATGTGAAAGGAGAATGTTCCTTGTGTTCAGCTGCCCGTAAACTATTCCCAGTTCATTGTGGATGTATTCGAGTCCGTGGAGAATCTACAGGGAAAGCATTAGCTTGTAGCCCACAGGGACAAACTAGAGCACTCACCTCCTTGCCGATGATCGCCAGCTCGATCTCTGTGATATCTCGCCGGCTGGTTGCCTGTATTTGGTGCATAGACGTCTCAAGCGGCTCATAGACAGCGTGCACAGATAGCGTGCCGAGGAAAAGGTCTGTAAGATGGACAATATTGGTTGGCTTTTCGTTCAGGACTCTGTACAGCTGCCGGCGCTGATTTTCACTGGCGTGGACCCTGATTTCCTTTATCACCACGATCAGATGATCAATAGAATTATCATGTGCGATGATGCCAGGGCCTGCTTGATCAGCTTCAAGGAACTGGTGATATTTCCGCCAAACTTCGCCTTCGTCGCTGTTCTTTTCGCCTCGAGCTGGTTGTACCGGAAATCGACCTCTTTCATTGCTAGTGGTGTCTAACGTGTCTGTCTCCTCTGCAATACGCTTCGTTTTCTTCCGGATGGTGTTTGGGGCCTTGAGTGACGAGACAGGCGACATAAGTGTCTTGGGAGCCTGTTGCTTGACCGTATCCAGTTGAGCTTGACTTTGTCCACTCCCGGATGTTGCCAGGCGTGGATTAGGCTCCTGAGAACGTATGTTCATAGGAAGCACTGTGCCACGATAGCCAGGGACATTCATCGTGCTCAGTTAGATGTTGAGTAGCACTGGGCTCCTCAGTGAACGCTACTCGCGAAGTCAACATCTCCAGCCGAGATCAATACGGGTATAGTATCAGTCTAGTCAATATCAACTAGACTGAGAAGGTGGCAGGGTCGGATCAGCTCCGAGTGGTCGACCCCTAAAGCCCAAAATTGAAGCTGGGTTTTTTACGTTCTAGTCTTCTGATGGAGGTAGCCTTGGACAGCACATCCCTAGGTAATTTACAGAGTGGGCCAACCCCAAACAGGGTTGTCAAGGGTCATTGCTTCTGAGTCCGTGCCATGTAGCGGTAATAATGGAGTATTTTCTGGGCATGAATGCAGTACACAGTTTCAGGAACGTTTCATGATTGATCATAGGTGGAAACAACTCCGTATTGTCATGTATTTCGTCTTTTGTTAAAAGATCAGCTTGATATTATAGAAATCATTCAATAAGCTGATGCTGATAAGTTACAGCTAGCATGCTTGGAAAGTCTGCTACTAGATATACTCTATGCGGCGGGTATTATTGGAGCATGTGATCATTATCTGCTTAAGCTAGGCGTATGGTTTCAGTATACGAGAATATCTGAATTCCAACTAGGCTATGGCCAAATGGTCCCTCAGAGGCCAAGCAATGGAATGCGACCAGAAAATCCCGAAGCTCTGAGAGATACCAAAGCCACCAATAATACCAATAATACCAAAACACCAAGACCAGGATGCCAAGCCAAAGATACCAAAGATACCAAAGATACCAATTTAGTGTTAATGGTAAACCATAACTGAGAATAGAACTGGTGCTGGGCGGGCAGTTTTGGATCGATTTTAATCAAGGAAGAGAGTTTGTAAGAAGCACGAATGTACAAGCCCAAGAATCGATCCTGAACAAAATAAGGAATCAGAAAGACGAGACGCTTGCGATTCTGAGACTTGGCTTCCCTGCAAACTTACTGAACCCTCAGAGCGCATCGCGTGGACATAAGGTGACTGACTGCCCCTTTACATATTTCCGCCCTATTTGCCCTCTGGTTTTGGTCGAGGTTATAGGTCGAAGAGAAATCGTTATTGGGGCCAAACCCATCAGATTTCGGACTCATCCACTGATGACGAAAAGGGAAAGCTAGGATTTTGAACAAAATCTGATATTTCGCATGAACGACCAAAGTAATATTACCAAAGGAATATGTTCCACTACCGAAAGTAACTCTAAACATAAGTGCTTCCTTGGACGAGCAAATTTTACAATAGGTTTAACTCAGACGGGCGGGCGACTATGGCTTCCACGAGGGCCCCGCGGGAGTACGATAGTCGAGACAGTGAGCTACATTGATGACCACCCCTCACACGTCAAACATCTTGAGTATAGACCTTAAACCGACCCTGGACGCTTTAAACAATATGTTCAGAAGGCATTTAACTGAAAATCCCCAGCCCCCATATAGAAGTTGTAGGGCAGTGATCAGTCACAACTGCTAGCCATTAATGCAGTGAAGTCGATGTCAAATTGAAGATTTGACAAATTGACGGAATCTCATAATGACCGGCTCCGAGATTGGCTATAGACGGTAGCTTATGCGCAGTCGGGGACACTAAAGAACCCGGTAATGTCTCTTAACCCCATACGAAAGGGGAGGAGGGGGTAATGGGGCAGCCTCCATTTGAGACCGAAGTAGAGCCAATCTTCGCTTCGCTGATGCTGCGCTGCTGGGTCGACTCCTTAGTACAATTGATCACACGTGCTTTCACTCCGGGCGAGTCAATGCGCTCCGCAACATTATCCTGGTTACCATCTGGGAGAGATGAAGAAGCGTCTTTCGGCTGCTAAGCGAATGGCTTGCGTCCAGGTTTTCGCGGTTTCCGCGGACCGTCGCATGGCAACCCGCTGCGAACGCAATTGTTACCTTGATACAAAAATTAGCATGGCTTCTTCTGGACGCTGCGTGATTAGGCTGTGGCAACATCCATGATGTATCCAAATCCGCATATCCAAATCCGCATATCCGTGGATATGGATGTAATCTGATATCCACATATCCGCAATGATATAATATGGATAGTAAATAGTATCCGCAGTGTGGATTTGGATATTTTACAGATAGGCAAATAATATAAACATGGCTAAATCCATTACTACATAATTTATGCATGTTTTGTTTATAATTTATCGTTCTAGGGGTATATAGAAAAGTCACCTTTCAGAATCCAAGTATTAAGGTATAGAGTTATAGTATAGACTATAGGACAAATTGCAGAAAAGGAGATACTACTTGAAAGTCTTCTATTAGGCTATGTGACTATGGTTTGATAATTTCATAATCCTTGAACCCTCTTGGAGCCTTCCGAGATCTCTTAGATCCGCGCGTCAGTATGTCATTCTGGGGTAAGGGATGTTTAGTCTTATCAGCTAACTCATGACACTGCTCTACTAACTGTCCTTCTCTTTGGCCCCCTTCCCTAGTTCCTGTACATTGTTGCTTACTCAGTCGATCTTATGTTTTAGTCTGAATATCACTAGCATCATCTTCTTCATCATCACTGACAGGCTCAAAATCCGCCTGTAGCTGAAGAGGAGCTCTTTCCTCCTCTATAGCAGCAACCTCACTAGCTAGAAGATACTCTTCTATTAGTTCTAGCTGCTCTTGTTCAAGCTTAAACTTTGATGTACACATCCACATCATTAAGTCTTTGATCATGCAAGATTTAAGATGGCTACAGCAATAGTGACAGATATCACAAGCAGAGTTAAAAAGATGTTTGACACCAGCCCCACTAGCTAGGATGGCAAGAACATCCTGAGCAAGTCTAGATAGTGCTGGGAACTCATGCTCATGCTCTTTCCAGAAGGCCCTTGGTGATATATTAACTATGCCTGTTATCTAATGTCAGTAATAAGTCATGGAGTTATTAATCACTACTAACCACTCTTAAGATATTTTATAAGCTTGTCATTATCCCTGTTTGGTTAAGAGCAGTGAGATCTGATTCCCTGCTGTAAGGCCCTGCTTGAAACTAGCATTTTAATCTGAGATAGGTTTACAGATGATAATTAAGTGCTTAGTGGTGTTAGTAGATCAGCAAGCTGCTCGGTGTACTGCTCAAGATAGTTGATAAGACTCTTATGAATTATGATACTGTTCACGCCAGCCACCCTCCCACTCTCTTATAGAAAAGAATTAAAGCTTATTTGAAGGGGTAATAATTGTGCTAATTACAAAGATATTACTATGCATCTTATCAGTCTCTTCATAATAGAATGAGAGCTTAGCCTTTGCTGCTTCAAGTGCATAGAGCATTATCTTTTTCTAAGAAACCCTTTTGTGTTGAAGTTGGCGTATGAACTTCTTGAGATAGTCAAAGAGATTGTTATAGATACTAAGGATAAGATGAATGGTGACCTCCTTTGTTGTAGAGAGCGCAGTGGTGTAATCAAAGAAAGGTTGGGTAATCCAGAGCAGATACTTGATTTGGCGCCATTCTTCCTTATTAAGCTTAAACTGGAGATATTGATGCATTGTACAGTATTCATTAAAGATAGACTGTAGTTGCTTAGCTCAGTGAAGCATTAAGTAGGTGGAATTCCAGTGAGTACAGACATCCTGGCAGGGAATAAGCTTTAGCTCTGTAGTTTAAAGACTCAGAAATGCCTCTTTTTACTATGGACTTGCATTAATGAAGGTAGTAAGTCTTTAAACCTTTCTTATTATTAGTAAAATAAGAGTTTTGTATAATAGTATTATACCTTATTTAGTGTATCCATAATTCCACTTAAATCACTCTTTTTCTGGAGAGATTGCATACTTTGATCAGACCATTCCCTTTCTATAGAATTATTAACTAGGTTCACTTTCATCTTTCCAAGCAGTTGATTCAAACTAAGCTGAATAACATGGGCGATGCATGGGATTCGGATAATCGTAGCATTACTACTAAGATCCTGTGACTGGATTAACTCCTGCAATCTCACCATTATAGTGTTGTTGTTTGATGCATTATTAGTAGTAATTAATAATATGTAGTTAGTGATCTTATACTCTTGGAGGACTTCCAAGATAACTAAGCTTAGATTGCTTCCATTATGCGTACCATAAAGAGGTTCAAACCTAAGAAGAATCTCATAATAGTTCCATTCTTAGTCAATAAAGTAGCTAGTAATTGCTATGAATGCCTGGTTAAAAGGTGATGTCCAGTAGTCAAGTGCAATTAAAAGCTTCCCATTTAGTGGAAGCTTCTGGAGTAGAGTCACTTGTTTTTCTTTGATATTTTTCTCTAGATATTATTGAAGGGTCCTGCTAGAGGGGAGTTTTGGCTTTGATGGTGCAAGTTATATAATATTAATAAACTCATCAAGCTCGCGACGCTCACTAAATTAAAAGGGAAGACGCCCAACAGTAACCATATTAAGTAGCTTCTCTATGAAAAGCTCTTGACTATATAGCCTTTAAGGAGAACACTAAGGCTAAATAAGGGTAATGTGAGCATACTTGATGAACTATACCAGGGCCTTATACTAACTGAGTCTTAGATAAGCTGGTCTATACCCTTCTGCTGTTTAGGCACAGTACGCTGACAGGCAGCTCCTTTAAGGTGCTGTCAAGGTGCAGGCTCGTAAGTAAACAGAAGTGAGTTAATGAGGTAGTTGACACTCAGGCTGGCTACAGTGATCTCTATCTATCTGTTCAGGCTGCAGGGCAGGCTGGTACAGGCGGGCTCTATAG